TGCTGCCCGCCCCCCAGTCGCCTCTGTGACCTCTGTGTTGGTAATAATTTTAAAAAACGTGAACACAAGAGTGAGGAAGAATCTTTAAAGGGATGGTTGGATTTTAAAATCTTATTTGGTTTTCATATGAACATATTTTGAGTGATATCAAATCTAATAGCAGGAAATTAACTAGGTATATAATTCAGTTTTTTCTCTCTTTTTTTGCCATATTTTTCAAGTAACCTATATTTGACAACAGCAATAAAATTGAAAACCCTGTTTTTGGTGTGCCACCCCCACACGGCCACCCCTATGAAAAGATTCTGGAGCGCCCCTGGTTGGTTATATCAACACAGCTTCAGCTTGAACTTAATTTTGGGACATAAGAGACAGCTGCAGGGATTCAGATCTTTCGAGGGTGGAGGGAAGTGACCAGCGGTTGTATGTCTGTGTGGCCAAAGAAGTGACACATAACCTATGTCCAATGATTGTTTTCCATGAGCCGGCTCGGGATGTTAGAGTACACTCATCTCTGCGAAAGGAAAATGGAAAAAATGACGTGCATGCCGATGCTGCTGTTCGGTCTCTGGGTCGTACGTAGCGTGACACTCGTCAGCAGCGCATCTTCAAAAAAAGAGACGGCTAAAAATTTCAGTCTGATTTTCAGTGATCATTATTTCACAGATTTGCATTCAGCTCCACTCGAGCTTGTTAAAAATACTAACTGAGTTCAAGGTGAGTGTAGCGAGGTTTGAGGACAAGCTGTATAAACTTTGGCTTTCACTAAAGGGACTGTTGGGTGTAACACCTGATAAAATCAACCCTGAGTGAATCACCGTGAAGCCCTCTGTTGTAACGTTTCTTTGCATCGCGCAGTTCGCTGAAGCACGTTTACTCTCCGCTGTTTCATTTTGGATGTGACTTGATTGTCGCTGTTTGGATCGTTGCAGAGTTTGGCTTGGCGTGTCACCTGGGAGTGCTGTCAGGGCTGCCCTGTGTGGGCGTGGCTAAAAACTTGCTGCAGGTGCAAGGAGTCAACAAGAGTGAGGAGCATCAGTCACAAGTGAGAAAACATCATCTCTTTTTTTAATTTAAGATCTTCTTTGTTTTAAACTTAGATTCTGTAGGTTTGTGTGCACTTTGTTGTGCTCAGGTCTCCAGTCATGCAGCATTGTTGTATCCATTGTGGTTTTCAGTGTTATAAAAAGGCCATTTCAAAGCGACGAGTCTAAGACTTGAACGTCTGTTTCTCCCAGCGAGCTGCAGAGTCTTGTCACTCTGCGGTTTGGCCTTCAGAGCTCTTTGATGTAAAAGAGATGAAGAAAACCTGCTTCATATTTAATGTTTCTTTTAGTCGTGTACACATGTTTCTCTTGTAAAAGAGCTCCCAGTGTTGACAGGAGTCACCGGATGAATTATTTAAGTTTTCAAAGTGTAATCGCTTTCTCTGCTCGCTGCACGTAAAGAGAAAAGCAGAGAAATGTCAGAGAGGGACGAAGCAAAGGACAGAGTTGTTTTTCAGTGTGACTTTGTGTGCATGTAAACTCACAACTTCTAATTCTACGTGTGTGTGTGTGTGAGAGTGCGCTTTGTTTGTGTGCATACTGTTCTCACTGTGACTTTAATTGCGAGCCAAGGCCTTGCTGTGTCGCTAACGCTAATGTGACTTTTTGAATACAAATCAAGCTGGGACAAATGCGCACTGGTCAAAGTATACCTGTGGGACAGCAAAACCTGGTTTTCATTAATATGCAAATGCTCCCTTTGTTTCAGTCTGCAGCTCAGCGACCTGCTGAGGAAAAAAACACAAAACACTTTAAAGTTAAATCTACCTGATGAAGCGAGCAGGTGCGTCAGTTTCATTTCACTTCAGGCCAAACTGAACTGAAGAGGGACAGACCAGTAAAGCCACAGGAAAATATTAAAAAAACTGTTCCCTATTTTTAATGTAATAAGGATGAAAAGCAACATCAAGTCAAACCGAATGCAACTAATGAGTAGGAATGAACCGAAAACTACATGTGGCATAGACTAAGGAACTGCAACAAAACCAGCGCAAACTGAGTAAAACAACTTATACAGTCCGAGGTTTTTACAGGAATCTGTGTAAGTACACCTTCACTCCATCCATAGAAATTATAGGAAGTTATTGAACTGAATCATGAAGTTTATTTCGTTTTTCAGAGAACTGCACAGTCCTGTGAAAACTGTGAAAGCTATTTCCTTTTTGAGGCGGGAGGAGCAACCAAGCAAAAATTGATACATAAAAAAGATCAATAAAAATGCATTGTCTGAATCCTACATGAACTTCACACATTCACATGCTCATGCAGCTCCAGGAGATTATTTAAGACGTCATCTTCCTCGGAAACTTCCAGATTCCTCACAGAAAAAGCTCGCACCCTGTGGCCTTCTTGTCTGAGTTGACAGTGAATTAGCTGAGCTTAAGCGTGGTCACTTCTGAAAAGCCATTATGCAAATTCTAAGTAGAATCTAAAGGTCTGCAGTTATGAGCATTTTAATGCTGAGTGGTCCTCCAAAGTTTTGGAGAGGAGCGGACAGACATCTGATCCACTTCTCAGTTAGCATCAGATACATAGTGTGATTACAACCCCGGCAATCTTCATGTAGTCGTGTGAGATGCTAATTCGATTCTCTGCAATGTATCCATCTCATGAATTAGTGTTAGTGGCTTTGGCGTCAGAAAAACTACGCCCGCCTTTTCCCCCTGGGGGGAATCTGATCTTTGTTTACACCTATCATGGTCACCCCCGAGGATCCAGTCACACTTATCTACTGAAACAATATGTGTCCAAATACATGTGGCTCATTTACTTTCAGGATCAGGTAGCACAGGCATTACACGGCCATGCTGCATGTTTGGCTCAAGCTATTAGCTTTGGATCAGCGTGAAATTTTAGAAGTCCCTTCCCGCCCATATTGATGTAATTGTCACTCTCTGGGGCTCTTTCTAATTTGTCTACAGGCACGCACACGATTGCGACGCTTGATGCTTTGGCGCTTGAGCGCTTGGTGGGAAATTAGCTGTGAAGTAATCTGTGAAACA